GCGGCGCGGCGCCTCGGCGGAGCCCAACTGGCACAAGGCGGCAATAACCCGCGCGATAGTGCGGCGTCGACACGGGCTGACGAGGCGCACTCTCAGACAGACAGGCGTACGGGGGAGGAGGGGTTATTGCACAAAGCAATAACATTACAAATAATAATAATCATTTAAACAGGACGGGACACACAACACCGTGCCGAGCCGCGCCGCGCGGTCACTGACCAGCCTGGCTGCAGCGAGGAGGGGGCGGGCAGCGCAACCTATAACAGCACACACGTCACTTATATAGATTTGACCTTATGGCTGAGTAACATGAGCCCGCCCCGCCCCGCCCCCGCGCCGACCGCGCGCCCCCATATTGTACCGCCACCGCGGCCGGCCACGCCTAAACAGAAATCGAGCCCCGCCCCGCCCCGCCCGCGCGCCCCCATATTGTACCGCCACCGCGGCCGGCCACGCCTAAACAGAAATCGATTATTATAAAAATTGTAACTGCAGCAGCAGCATAGCAAGCCGTCTCGCCCCGTTTATTTCAATAGAGGCGGGCGGGCCGGGCCGCCCCTCTCCCACGTCCACCCCCTCACTCAGCCACCCTCCCCATCCCCACCCCCCGGCCGGCGCGTGTCCAGTCGGACCCACCCGTCACACCGCAGCGGCAGCAGTAGTAGTAGTAGTACGTAGGAGGAGGAGTACAGTCTGCGCCAAGTATCATAAATAAACCAATGAAATACCAATGGCTTCGAAACAATGATACTGCTCTATTTTACTCCTTCCCGCACGCTAAACTTTTTACTAGCAAATTTGCCACGTCACAACGCAAGTATTGTGCTGTTTAATATTATCAAGAAAATTTAGTAATACTGAACTTTCCTATTACCATTAGAGTACATCGAAAAAGTTTAGTAATTTAGCAGGGTAAAAAACCTTAGGAATAACTAAAGAATTTCTTCGGAATCTTTTGACAACACACAACAGTACAAAACTTTAGTAGTTACCAGGCAAATTTTCTGGTAAAAAGTTGAGAGTGCGAACTGTTATAGTGCCTCATTTCCTGCCTCGCCTACTACTACTGCAACTCAAGTTGAGCGCGCGGGAGAGCGAGCGGCGGCGCGGTAAAAAAGAAAATGCAAGAATAGTCGCAGGGCGTCTTCTTTGCCAGCGACGACGTCCCGTCGTCGTCGAAGAGTCAGTGGAGTCGGTGCGTCGCCGCTTTGCTTTGCTCTTTGTGCAGCGGGCGGCCGTGCGAACGAGGAAGCGTTAGAAGGGAATAGGGGGGAGGGGGCTAGCGATGGTATCGCGGCGACCGGAAGTCACGTGATACTTTCTTCTCCTTCATTCCCCGATTGGACAGCGGAAGTCGGACGCGGCGAATCCAGCATGAGAGACGAAGTCGAGTCCCTCCATATCATAGAGAGGGGAGTAGTAGTATGTATGAAGACGAAAAAAAGACAATTTATTTCCCTTGATTCGAAACAATAAAAAAACAGAACGACGCAGTGATGAAAGTCATTATCGGAGGTGACATTTTGACTGAGCCGGTACCCGGGCTGCCTGGGGTGGCCCGCTGGAGTGCGCCTCGCACGCGCGCACGTTCACCCTCTTCCCCTTTCCCCCTTCCACTCATTACTTTAATTTTTTTCTCCTGCAGGGTATATAGCCCGGCGGCGGCCGCGTGGCGGACACCGGGCGGGCGTAGTACAGTACGTATCGCCATTAAATGAGAAAAATTGACAAACTGTTCGCAGCCTATCATTCGTCTCGTATACTGCTGCCGCGCGGCACTAACAGGTTCCCATTTTAGGAGTTGATGGTGCAAACAGCCCCGAGGGCGGGGTGCGGTAGTATGTGAGAGAGGAGGGGGGCATAGTGGGCAGCGAAGGGCGCATGGGGAGGCACTAGGCGCATGAAATATAGATGCAGAGGTGACGGAGGGGGGGGGGGAGTGGAAGGGGTAGCTTTTAATTAAGGGACTCGCACGGGCCGTCGAGCGCCAGGCGGGTGCGAAGCGGACCCCCCCCCCCCTCGAGCGCTCCTGCCTGCAAGACCTAACCCCCCGTCGAGAAGGCCGCATGCGTCCTCCCACACACTTCTGTTATCATAGACACTCCCGATCAGCTGACGTACGGTTTCTCCAGAACAGCACAACAGGCTTGCACATAGATAAGCAGCAGCAGCGACCAACGACACGAACAACGCACGGCCAAGCGCTTGACAGGTGCAGCAGGAAGCGATCTACTGGATCTACAGCTTTACTTCTTGGTGCACGATACGCCGTCCTTTCTTCAAGGGTGGTGCCTGCCTGTCCCGTATCTTGTTGCTGCCTATGAGGCGGTGCCCAGAAGGATCCCTACACAGTGGTCGAAATGCAAGCATCAACTTTTGCAGGGCCATTCGTAGAGTTGGGGCCAACGACTTCCCCCAGCCATTTAATTGCCCACCTCGGAACAAGAGAGGCAACGGCTTAGAACACCAACGACACCACAATGTATTCCAACACGTACATACACAAGCACGCACACAACGACCTCCCCACAGACAATGCCGAACCCCAACCCTTTCTTTACTCCCTTCCGACTGAGTAGGGGTGGTGGTGGTGAGTGGCGCAACTTTTAGCACCGCGCACCCGACCGCGCGCCGCCTCGCTCGTCGTCGCGTAGGTCGTAGGGAAATGACGCCGCGCCCCGGCCAAGCTTTTACGAGCCGCGCGCCTCACTCCGACTGCAGCACGACACCCGGGTGCAACTCCCTCCTCCTTCCCCCCCCCCCTACCCTCCAATAAACACACTACTTTACGACCCGATTACATACCCTCCCCACCAACACACTGACCAGCCCCAAGCCTCGAGCAGCAGGGCGAGGCGGCGCCGCGGTGGCGCCTCTAGCTTGGGGCCCGGCCAAATCACCCCGGCACATGAGCGCCACAGTCAATGGACGCCCCCTTCCCCTCCCTCACTCCCTCCCCCGACTATCGTTGCGTCTCTCTCACACGCACTAGTCGACCCGACCACCGCCCCCGCCCGTCTCTGTCGCACAAGAGAGGACGGTCCCTGCCAGAGTTTAGTTGAGGAAGGCAATGGTCCAGCATAGCAGACAGATGGACAGACGGGCGCGTTGCCAAAAAGGCTTGGGGCGTGCGGGGGCGACGCGAGGCGGAAGATGACGACGGGGTCCTCCTTGGCCAGACCGGCTGGGCCGACAGCAGCTCCTTCCAGCTCGCTGCGCTCCCGACCAGATCACCCCCCGATCCCCGAGCTAACTCGCGCCCACAACAAGGGGGTGGGTGCCGTCGTGGGGGCGACCAAGGAGGACAAGAGCACGACCGCGAGGGTCGCCGTCGACGAGAAGACACATTTAGCGGCCCCCCGGCGAGCGACCTGTAAGGCACGCGCTCCCCTGCCCACCAGCTCGCTCGCGCACCGACACCAACGCCACCCAGATCCACTACACGCGATCTATTTCCGAGCCGCGCGGACCTTTACCAGGCGCGCACCACACCACGTCACGGCCGGGCCGAACCGCGACCACCGCCGCACCTTGACCTGCCCCAGTGTAGCGGGGCACCGCGATACAAGAGAGAAAGGGTGCGGGGGAGGGGAACGAGCTTGTAGTATGCGGGGAAGGCCGTGGGAGACGCGGGCGGCCGCCATGCGACTGCTGCCTAAGCTTATCAGATACGCGAGAAAATGAAAGGATACACCACCACAGCCGTACAATCACGCGCAAGGGGCGGGGCTGCAGGGGGGCGGAGCGGCGGCCACCCGAGCGCGACGACACGCCAGACAATAGGCGGGAACTTCAAAACTGCGCGGCCAGAAGCACACTGACTGACACACGCTCGTACAAAAAACTGACCGCCAGAAATAACTCTTGCCGACAGGGCACATATTCATACCCCCTCCCTCAGCAGGTGGCTTGCACTGCCACACACACGTGCAGTACCCGGTACTTGCTGCTGCTTACGTCTGTTTCCGGCTAACTCTCCCCCTCCCCCTCTCCTCTCACACTACATCTTCAACTTGCATCCGTCTTTCTCCATCTCTCTCTCTCTCTCTGCTGGAGAGAGGAACCTCAACAGGTGACGAAGGCCCTCGAGATATGGCAGCGCCATCACTGACGAGCCACTTGTCGAGCCCCATAGCAGACAGCAGACAGCGCAGCGTCTGCAAAGCGTCCTAGCTAAACCAAAAATACATTTACTCCTATGGAATTAAAATGCGTTTGAAAAATTGGTAAGGGAAGACTTGGCATTGTTCGGCACCGTTTCTTAAATACTGTCTCAAAAAGAATATTCAGTTATTCTAAAACTTAATTTGGCAATGACTCCTTTAGTTTACCCGCGAGTCTACCCATCTTTTGAGCTTAGCGAGGAGGTCAGACTGCGCGTCTCCTCCCCAGCCGCCTTTTCCATTTCCACGTCTTTCTCGAGCAGAAGTGTGGGAAGTGGCCCGGGGCGCCGCGGAGCACTGAGGAGGCCCCGCCGCGCCCCGCGCCGAGTCCAAGCGTCGTTCTGGCACGGCTGTTTTCCGAGGCGCCCCAGGCAGACGGGCGCCGCGGTTAGATCCGCGTGCCGCTTTACATGCAAACTTTACAGGAGCAGGCGACTGTCGCTGTCGTCCCGGAGACTTCCCCCGGCCTCCCCAACCCTTCCCCAGGGAGGTGTATAACCACAAACTATCACAAACACACACACGCGCGCACTCCAACACTAAAATGCGGAGCAGGGGAGTTCGCACGTGCGCCAAATTGGACCAGCCCCCCCGTCCCTTTCCGTTCGCTACCTGTGCTGCGAACGCCAGTTTCCCGCCTTCACTCCAACCCTCCAGGGCCGAACTCAAAACCAACACTCTCAAGAAGGGGGGGAGGGGGAGGGAGCGAGAGTGGGACTCAAGCAAGGAAGTTCGCCAAAGTTGCAACCGAAAGGGGGAGGGTGTGTGAGAGAGAGAGAGAGAGACCGGCAGTGGTTTCGCACCGGCCTGAGTGGGATAGGTTCGAAAATGGGTGCATCCAAAGTTGGCGATCAAAAGTTTATACCACCGCGGGCGGGCGCTGCGGGCAGGGACCGTTAACCCCTCCCTTACTCCTCACACCCCTTTCCAAATCGAGCCAAACCGATTCGCGAACAGACAGCTCTGAAAGGGTGTTACGCGCGCGCGAGAGGGAGAGAGACAGAGAGAACTGCCAGCGTTGGAAAGGGCGGCCATTGCGAGCGAGACAAGCCTATCGATAAGGCAATTACAACCCCCGACATGCCGTGCCCCGTGGCGGCCGGGCCGGCAGGAGAGCAGAACTCACTTAGCCAACTCGTCGACAGGGACAAGAAGGGGGCACGCCACTCGCAGTAAGTCGCGGGGGCAATAGGCAGGTGCGCCGCGCCGCCGAGCCTTGCGCGCACTTCCAGGAATCCCGCAAGAGTGAGAAAATGAGAGAGAATCGAAAGAGAGAGGGGCAAGGGCAAAAGAGAGAGACAGACGCGAGCCCCGTTGTTGTACCCTCACGTACCCACCCGTGGTGGGCAGCAGGACGAGGAGGAAGGGGAGGAGCGGGGGGTACGTGCCAGCAGCAGGACCACCGCACCGCCACGGCAGGCCGCACCGCGCGATAATCGATCAAGATTGTCGGTTCGAGAGCTCGAACTCGTACCGCAGCGCGCAGCCAGTACCCCAGCCCCAGCGCGGCGTCGTCGGACAGCGGCGGCGGCTTCCGAGAAATCAGCCAACACTCACCTGGAAACAGAAGAAACAAAAAAGCTCGAGTTAATGGACAGGATTCCGCAGTCGAAAAACACGGGGGTACAAGGAAAGGAACAGATGATGAAAACGAAGGATATACTGCAAGAATAATAATACTAAAAGGGGGGGAAGAAGCAGGCGAGGGAGACTACTCCTCGGCCATGAGGAGGCGACATCCTGTGGACTCCCCTAACAGGCTTCCAATACGGCCGCAGGGAGCTGCAGGCAGGCGCGTGGTTAATTCCATCTCTGGACGATCTCCCCCTCCACCTCCGCCCCCGACCCCTAGAAGACCCCGGTCAACGAGGAGGCTAGACACGGAACGTCCCGCAGGCAGCACCAAACAAATTCCCCCCACAAAGCAGGGCGGGGCGGGGCACGCCATCTCACATACGTCCCTCCTGCAGCAGCAGCCCGCTTCATAAATCAGAGGACGATCACTGAACAATGGGATCGGACGGGGGCAGCAGCAGCAGTCGCGTGTGAGACGGGCCGGAGGGCGTCGTCGTCGTCACACATCTGCAGGCGCGTGACAAAGACCCGCAGCGCACTTGGAAGAGCAATAATGAATGGCGAAGTAAATGCAGATTTATAATCCGCAAGGCAAGTGTACGCCACAAGGCGCAAGTGTGCGAGAGTGTACTGCGCGATATATCGCGACACTCGCAGCAGCATCAGCACAGCAGCAGCATGTGCAGCCCAGCCAGCCCAGCCCCGCCCAGCACCCACTTGTCGTCCCGGCTGGGCGGGGCGTGGCGCCGCTAAATCCCCGAATTTATCACCTAATTAACTGCGGCTCAACTCCTTCATAACTCCATTAGCAGCCTCTTCACACTTCAGCCCCGCACAGCCACGCCCTCGTTTTATACGGTCATTTCGATTCGGGCGCTGCTGCGATCGCATTCGGACGCCGTCACGTCGCGTGCATACCGGAGGGCCTCATTAACGGGCCGGAGGAGGAGGAATGCTCTCCAGGACCCGGAGGAGAAAGAAGAGGGGGGGGGCGAGCAGTCGGGGAAGTAACGCCCTCTCGAAGGACTCGACCCACCCTCACCCTCCTGCCAATATTTAGAGCTGCCGCTGTGCCCTTGTACGCTTTTGCAGAGCTCGGGCGGGCGACATACACAGTATGTACACGGGGACCAGGACCCTTCGCGCCGCTCTGATCGACTGAAGGGCCCCGCTAAGCCCCCCCCCCCCCTTTCATCGTTGGCCCTCGGGAACCCTTCCACTGACGAGCTGTCAAGGACAGTTCTCCCCCCCCCTTTCCCACCACCGCATTTCCCCCGGCAACACGGCCTAACCTACGGCCAGCAGCGTCCCCACTGGGGGCTGTTCGTAAAACAGCGGGGGACACTAAACCAGCCCGCCAGAGAGGCTCGCGTCCGAAAACGCGCCCATCGCACCCTCTTTCTCTTTCCTTCTCCCCTTCTCCGTCGCACTCATGGTTCCCTCGGACACAAACGCGGGCGGCAGACGACAGAGGAAGAGGGCATTTCGCATTTCAGCCTTCCCCCTAGTGGCTCATCATTACGCGAAGAGGACTGGAAAGGCAAAGGGGGAAAGGGGGGGGGGCAGCCTAGGGCGAATAAATATTTTACGACGAGACGCACTGCCTTCATTTGACGAGCGAAAACGGGGAAAACTTAGGAAAATTGGGAGGGGGGGGGGATGTGTGTGCGTGTGTATTTTCTAGATGTCAGTCTCGATGATTCACACTCTGGAATAGAGACGGGGGGAGAGGGAAGGGCACATAGGGGTTGAAACAGCGTCGTCGTGCCATAGCCGCTGGCCAAGGTGGCATGTCGTCTCCTTACTCCGTCCGTTTATTTCGAAACAAAAAACAAAATGTACAGCGGAAGAAAAGGAGTGCCGCTGACGTTTGCAGTAGAAAGGGGGATGATACTGAGGGCGACAAGGCATGCGAGGACAGACAGGGCGCGTGGCGCGTGTGGGGCCAGGACGACCCCTTCGTCCCTAGGACAGCAACCAGGCCGCCCCGACCTTCGCGACAAGGACACGCGCACGACCACCACCCCACCCGGCGTCAGGCCAGGGCCAGCTTCATGGACTACTTGTGCGCGAGAACAGCAGCAGTAGTAGTAGTAGATTCAACCCCATACGGGAGAGGGAGGGAGGGAGGGAGGCGCGCACGGGCTTGAACCGCCTTTACGGCCCGAGCCGAATAACAGCCGCGTCAAACAGCTCCCGCGGACAGCCCCATTCGCACGCGCCGGCCGCGCGGTTTACAGGCGTCCCTTACAGAAAACGGAGGGGAAATGGGGGGCGGGCCTAGACGAGAAAGAGAGAGAAAGACAGCGGGGTAGGAGAGGGGAAGGGCCTTTGGTGTAATAAAAGGCAACCTTGGTGTTTTATTTTGTTTGATCACGCACTCGCGGGGACGGAAACACAAAAAGAGTGCGAGAGAGAGAGAGAGAGAGAGAGAGAGAGAGCGAGGACAGGGGAGGTGCGGGACGGGTGAGGGGCAGGAGGGTGCGAGACAGGCGTCGGCGGCCGGACCCGACAGGAGGGGCGGGCGAGCGCGGGGCGCGTCGCGGCGCCGGGGGAGTAGATTGGCGCCGAGCCTCTCCCCCCGCTCTCCTCCCCCCCTCATTACTAAGGGCTGCCGGGGCCGCACGCGAGGGCCGTTGCCAGGCGGCGCCGCCGCCGGCGCCCGAACAAAACGAGAGCAGCGCGCGCGGTATTCGAACCGTCGGAAGCGCCATCGCGTCCGCCCCGGGGTGCCGTTCGCAGCGCCGGTAATCCAATTTGATCCGGTCGGCCCGCCGGCGGCGGCCCTGGCGGCCAACCATTAGGCGATATCCGCTACGCTGCGGCGGTGACGACGCCGCCGCCGACGGCGGCGGCGTCCGTCCGCCACAGAGACCCGCTATCTAAGTGCGCAGCGCCCGTGCCGCCGCCGCGACCAGGCCCGGCAGCTGCAGAAGTCCTCGACGGCCACCCTCTTGGAGGTCACGAGGTGTGGTACTGGTGGTTGACCGGGCGACACCCCCTGCGGCACCGCTGCTGCATCTGGCAACCACAAGTGTCTGTCGGTCGCTCGTCTTCCTGGGCGCGCTGCTTCGCGGCCGCGCGCCAGCAGCAGCGTGTGAATGGGTTGTTTACACGCGCGCGCAGCTCGCTCGAGGCATTCCAAGTCCGCAGCTTATCTCTCTCCTGCTGCCGCCGCCGCCGCCGCCGCCGCAGCTGCCCAAGGACTTGGAGAAGCGCCACACCGCCGCCGACGGCCGCCGACGGCCCAGACAGATAGCCGCGCCACGTCAGTCACTTTTTATCGACGGGGCGTTCTCGCAACGCATTACGCCCGTCGAGTCGTCGGCGCGCCCCGCCGCACCACCACACCCCGCCACGCCCCGCCACGGACGCACAAACACGGCATGCACCACGCGGCCGGCCTCGCGAGGCGGACAAACACGTGAAAGCCAACAACTCTTGGCCAAGGAGAAGAGGAGGAGGGTGCGCCACGTGCACGCCGCGGGCCGCCGGAGAGGGGATCCGGCGGCAGCAGCAGCAGCAGCAGCAGCAGCAGCATCCTGGAGGACGAAGCGCCCCGGGTCAATTACAAAGCCCAGCTGACTCAGCGGGGAAGGAAAGGACCATACGGCCCGCGGCCCAGCGGGGCGGCGATCCAAAGATTGAACTTGTCTCTCACTCAATGCGGGCCTGGGCGGGGCGGGGCGGAGCGGAGCCAGACCCGCCCGGGGAGGCTGCCATGGTATGCGGGGTAAAAGTGAAGGAGTCATGACGTGCCCCGGACCTCGACCCCTTCTGCCCCAACGGGGCCTTGACGCGGCCCAGCGAGCACCGCGGCTGGCGGCGCCTGGGGCCGGGGTAAACGAGGATGAGCTCGCGTCATCATCGTGCACACCACCGGAAAGGTCTCTGTGGAGGCTCCAGTGAGACGGGTGGGTGGGTGGTCGGCACGGCCGAGTCTGGAAAGCATCATCCCAGCGATGAAAATTAGGTTTAGCGAGTTCATCGCCCAAGATTTCGGTGCTCCGAACCGATAGAAAGGTTTCTAAACGTCCGGTGGAGCCTCCAGCTGAGTGAGGTCCTCTTGAAGCGTCCAGAGAGCCTGGAGCAGCGGGTGGAGGGACGGCAGCCGCCGCCATGCAGCACTTGCCCCACTGGCCCGTGGGGGCCCCATGGCGGTAATAAGCCCGACGCCTGGGTGCGGGGCCCTAGACTCGCCCCGCCCGTTACCGCGCCCTTGACCCGCTGCTGCTGCGGCGGCGGCGGGGCGGCGCGCTGCTCTACTCGACCGAGAGATGATATGATGCATTCTCTCTCCCAGCCTCTCCCTCCTCCGGCCGTAACGTTATTCCAAGGACCCTCGCCTTTCCCCTCCACAACAACAACGACCAGCTCATCACGCTGCCCGGACTGGACCAGCCTGCCGGGCCCCCTATGGACGGACGCTGGGTGTCCCTCGCGGCGATTTTAAATCCTCCCCGACGACGACGACGAGGGCATCAGCCACGACGTCGACGTCGAGCACCCCGACAGACGTCATGGGTGCGCGGGCACGTCCGGGCCGTGACCACTGACCATCACCAGCAGCGTCCAAGCACAAGGAAGGAAAGAGAGAGAGAGAGGGGGGTGAGAGAGAGAGGGCTGCTCACCCAGCCGACGCAGCAGAGCGCCGCGTTGTTCAGTGCCCCTACCCGCCCCCGCCCGCCCCTCCACTTCGACACAACGGCGACAAAGCCCCGTGTGCGCGGTCCGTAGTCGCGCATCGGTGCAGCTCATTACCCGCTGGTTGCGTAAGGAGGGGGGAAGTAACGACACGCACTCACACACTCGGACAATCCTCCTCCTCAAGCGTCGACAAAGAGCGGACGAAAAAACAACATACATGACCGACACATCCAAGAAGAAGAGATTTTCAAAGCAGCGGCTGGCCGGCCGCAGAGGGCCGGGGAGAGGCGTGGTGCATTTTCGTATACGCACTGATTTTTCCCACCTGTCTCCCACCGCACTCTCACGTGGGTACACGTGCGGGCGTAGAGAGGCGGCCCCGCATGACTCCGTAATGACAGCGAGCGGGTCCTCCTCACCTCGGCGCGCCCCGCCCCGCCACGGCGTTCCCATTTCCTGCCGAGTTGGTAATGTCCATAATGAGTGCGCGTCGACAACGACCGAACTAACTATCACGATTTGAGAGCAGCGAGCGCAGCGCGCGCGGCACAAAACACACGTCCCGAGCCGTGAGAGTGCGGGACGGCCGTCGACCCAACCCAGGACGCCGTCGACCTAAGACGAGGACGCCGTCGACCGAAGACGAGGACGCCGTCGACCCAAGACGCCGACGCCGACGCCCCAAGACGCCGACGCCTGCCCGTGTGCAGGTGGCCCGTTGTCGTGGTCCAGGGAGTGTGCAGGTGGCCCACGCGGACGCTGGAGAACGGAGCACACACAACACGCAGCAGAGTGGAAGGTGCAGGGGGTGAGGTGAGGGGGGGAGAGAGAGGGGGAAGAAGCAGTCAGCCAGGCGCGCCGTATCGACCGGCCAGGGGCAGCACACTGCACGGTGCAAACCCGGTAAGGGCGATGACACTTGGGTGCAGCGCGGCCCGGCGCGGCCGCAGCTCCTACACGAGGGGCGTATCGGGGCGGGGCGGGCCAACAAAGGGCGTGGTCCGGGCTCTCCCTACAAATCTCCAGCGCCGCGCCGCCGGAGACAATGCAGGAGGAGGACAGTCCTGCGGCCACAGCGGCGGCACCACAAGGCGCCAAACGACAAAAAATAAAAACACAGAAATCTCGCGCCAACATGACAAGTGTTTTGGGAGGAGGGGGGAAAGAATAAGGGTGTGAAAAGAATGATAAACGGGGCCGGGCGGGGACGGGCAGAGAAGCACCACAAATTAAAAAGGGAAAGGACAAAGGTGACGGGGACAGAAAAAGCAAAGCGAGCAGCACGGCCACCAAAAAAGAGGCGCTGATGGCCCCCCACCGTGGTTCTGGTGAAACGGGCGCACCGTCGAGGAAAACCTTGCCTCGAACAAGAGGAGAAAGAAAACCGTACAGGCCGCGCGGCCGCGGCAGGCGCGACTAGCAGCACACTCTGGCCGGAAGCCGCGGCCACGCCCCCCAGCTACCAACTAGCCGGCCGGCCGGCAGCGCGCGGCAGCGGCACAGGAAGCTAGTCCGATTCGTATGCAAGAGAGGTCAAGAGCGCCCCGCGACACTCCGCACAGCCCCGCCCCGCCACGCCCCACCGCCGCTCGCGGACAACGACCCCCCCAGCAGCAGCAGCAGAAGCAGCTTTAGGAGTCACGGCCGCGGAGAACCACCGCGTCATTTAGGTCCTCCGCCACGCCCCGCCACGCCCCGCGGCGCGCCAAACGGCAGTCGCAGTCGTGCTTCCACCTCACTTACTGCCGCCGCTCGCTCGGCTCGCCTCGCCAAACACTTCTTCCTCCCCCCGCCCGCCCCGCTCACTCGCCACACTCCAGTCCTGCAGCAGCAGGGAAAGGCTTTCCAGAAAGACTTTTGCAGGCTCCAGGACCCCTGGACGTCGACGAGGAGGAGGAGGAGGAGGCCCAAAACGAGAGATTTATTTAACGGCGCGCAGCCCATGCTAAAACGCCCAAGCGAGAGAGATAGAGGGCCGAGAGGCTCAAAAATTTTACGACCAGTCGCCAATTTTATACTTGAGCGGGAGGGAGGGGAAAGGGGGAGGGGGCGGAGGTTGAGGGAATCCGACGGCGAAAGGGCGGGGAGGAGGGAAGGGGGACTGTCAGTCGGTCGACATGTGCTGCGTATGGAGAGGGCTTTAGAAGGGAGAAAAGGGGGGGGGGAGCACACATGCATGCATGAGGAATAAAGAGTGGAGAGAAAAAAAAAAACACGAAACGACTCGTCCCTGCGCTGCGAAGTTCAGAGAAGCAGGGGGGAGAGAAAGGGTAAAAGGAGAGGGGATATATAAGACCAAACGCAGCACTCAAGAGCAAAACGACTGTGCGAAAATAATCATAGAGTGAAGCAGGAAAAAATTGTACTGTAACTTATAACGCAGCGAAAGAGCATCATTTCATCGTCTTTCATCTCGCTTCTTCCCTTCTTCCTCTTGAGATCTTCATCATATCCTTTACACGAAACATATTCTCTTTTCATTGCTCACGCTGCAATTCTTTCCCCTCGCGGGCAGGGCGGGTGGCCCCACTTACCCCGCCTCACCTCACCTAGTATACACAGAAGCACTGCCCCGCCCGCCGCCCCCGCTCCCCTGCACGCCGCGGTGTCGCTCAAACATGATTCGCGCGCTCTCTAATCAGGTCACGGCGACCCCGCGCACAGCGGCTCACGGCGAGGGGCACGACAGCACCTCCCCTCTATCCGCCCCCTCCCGTGAGTGTCGACACATCTGCCTCTCATAATAAACGACATCCATCCGTCCGCCCATCTAAATTAAGAGCGCGCGCGTTCCTTGGTTCTGTTTAATGATGCTTTTATTTTCTTCTTGTCTCTTTCTCGTTTCTCCCTCTGGGGGTCGGTCGGTATGACGGCGATGTAAGGCCTAGCAGCGACGCGCCGGCGCCTGCCCGCGCGGAGGTTTGGCGCGAAGACGACGCCACTGCCCCCCGCGCAGTGCCCCACGCGGCGTTTGCTGCCCCCCCCTTTTCTCTCTCTCTCTCTCACGCTCGAACACAGCCGCGGCACAGCGTTGCAGATTGCGAAAGTGACTCATGACCACTACAACAGCAGCAGCACGCTCGCTCTGCTCATGACTCGCCGATAGAAGTGCGCTCATGCCCGCAGGCCATTAGCTATACACCGTTGGAAAAGCAAAATGGAAAAATACTTCAAACGTATGGGCTAAAAAGAAAAAGTTTGATCACAACCAACAAAAGCAGACGCACAAACACGTGCAGATCCATGCAATGCAGCCGTGCGGATTATGATATGATAACAGATGCAATACTCAACATCGCAATCGCAATCATGTATAATCCGGACCGCGCGGCGCTGCTCTCCTCGCAATAGAAAAGAAATCAATCAGCGGTGCGCCCTGCTCTCCCGCCGCTCGCGGGCCGTGCGCCAGAGCAGGCGCCAGCGGGCGGCCACGGCTCCGACAGTGTACCCCCCTCGCCCGCCGTGCCCTATCTATCCCGCGAGCCCTCCGCCAAATGACGGCCAACGCGCCATAAAGCGACCCCATAACAACCTAACCTGCGCCGCGGCCGCCGCGGAGCGCAGCAGCAGCAAGCCGCAGCAGCAGCCACGGCCACACAAAATTACACATTTTTCCCTTCGCCATTTCTTCACATTTCGCCATTCGGACGTTCCGTCTCTCTCAGACACGTGCGCGCGAGTCGCGGGTCGAGTCCTTCGGGCGCGGGCACCACCGCCACCATACCGCTTGCACCGCAGCCGATGCAGAGTGCAAGGCGAGCCGGAGCAGCAACAGCAGCAGCAGGGTACAATGCACCCCGTCAGCTTTAAATACGGCCGCGAGACGTTTAATATCGCTAACGAAGGTTTACGACGACGGGGCAGTACGGCAGTGTGCGGCGCGCGCTCCACGGCGGCGGAGCAGTTCAGCAGACTAGGGCCGCGCATCACCCGCGGACATGGAGCGAGCTAAGCCCCTCATGGGCACCTTATCACCCCGATAACAAAGGGCACCACCCACTCGCCCACCCTCAGCTCTTCCCCTCTCCACCCACTCGTCATCGGACAAGTTCTTCTCGTCCTGCAGCAGGCAACGCGGCGATGCCAACCACGGCGCAGGAGGAGCAGCGGCTTTGGAGGGCCGTTCTTGCCTCTTTCACTTCTTTGCCTCGGCTCGGGCTCCACCCACTTCCTCGCAATAAAGCGACGGTGAAATAAAAAGAAAAGGACGAACAACACGAAAAACGAGATTTTTAACGCCCGATAACAGGGGGGTGGGTGGTAGCCGCGTCAAAAATAATGCATTATTTTTATGTTTAAAATTTTAACGGTGGGAACAGCAATCACGGCGTTAACGGGTTAAGAGGGCGCGGGAATAGGAAGGGGGCGAGGGGGGCGGGTCAAGGAAGGAGGGGAGTAAGGCCCTCTGTGGGCCAAGGGCCGCGAGGAGGAAGGGCGCTGCCGTTTATAGTTAGGGGGGCCTACGGCAGGGTCGGTAGGGAGGGGCAGGGCCAGGGGCCCCCTTTGGGGTCGTAAACGCCAGTTAAAAAGACACCGTTAACGCCCGGGCGCAGGTCTGGTGGTGGTGTTGCCAGGCGAGCAAATCCCGTTCGGCAGCCAAGTTCGACAACGTACCTCGGTACTTTCTCGATATCGGTTCCGATATCATCTTGATATCGGGACTCGATGCTCTATCGGGTCGATGTTAGCTACATGCTGATTAACGAAGTCTTGGTATCGCACAGCTTGCGCAGACTGGCCTGGCCGAGGCCGGCGGCGTTCGGGCCCTCTGCTCCTAGAGCCTGCCCCGAACCGCCCGCGCGCCACAAATAGAGGAACGCAAACACATCGCTCCGGTCGAGAAGGAAGGAAGGGGCGCGAACAATATCAAACATATCGGGCCGGCCAGTCGAGCCAGTGGCGCCAGGAATAGCAAGGGGGGAGGCATTCCTACAGCGGGGAAAATGATACATTCCTGGGGCAAACGGCGCGACCGATAATGCATCAAGTCTCTAAATAACCCTCTCTACCCCGCGCGCCACAACAGATGGCGGAACCGCACGGCCATACGGCCCTTCAAACAGTCGTCCGTCAAAATATATATACTCGCCGAGGCAGTCGTGCTCGCGCCCGTCCCCCACGGCACGAGCAAATCAAAAATGCCACGGGCCTGTGGTGGTGGAACCCACCCGGCGGCAGCACCAGCGGCAACGACATTCCAGGACCGCCAAATAAAACGGATCCGCGCGCGGTCGCAGCAGCAGCAGGGCTGAGCAGCAGGGCAGTTCGCAGTGGTGGCAGGGCGGGCGGGGCGGGCGCAAGGGGGGGACCTGCAGCTCGGACGACACGTATAACGGTACGCCCTGGAGGGGCGGGGCGGGGGAGCACCACGACGCCTCCGCAGCTGACAAAGCAAAGGTCCGCGCAGGCCTTTGCAGGCAGGCCTTGCAGGCAGGAGGGCAGGTTAACGACTCGCCGACCATTCACAAGTACAAAAGGCAGTACACGCCTTTGGCCGCCCCGCCCTGCTTGCAGGGCCCCCTCCTGGTGTGCTGCCCGCGGCCAAGATGCACCAACCACCACCACACAATGCACACGGGTACTGAGGACGTGCCTTCAAAATTGTCGCACCACCAACAACCACAAAACCGACTCCGCTCACGTACATCCATCAAATGCAAGAGAGTCCAGTGCTCCGGGCCCTTGCAGCTGCTTCGTCTTCATTTTCCTAAACTCTCCCACCTCTCGACAAGTGTTTCCCAGCTCTCCTTGCGCCCTGGATTCAATCAGACAGGGGCAACCAACCATCGCCGCCCTTTGTGTGAAAACATTCCTCCCAGAGTTAGCGCCCTGGTGCGAGTCGGGCTCTCAGCAGCATCATCATCGCCTCCCTCATAAGAAGGGCCCCGTCCAGCGTCTGCTCGATGACACGAGGCCGCCCCTGCGCCAGGACACGAGAGCGCCACAGTTGCACCGTGTGACCCAAATGGGAGACGGTTTAGCAGCGCCATCTCCTATCGGCGGATGTGCTGTTTGTTTGGCGCGCACTTCAGTCACCCCCACCCCCGGGCCGGCCGGCCTACGTACACACGCAGCGCGTATGGACGGCAAAGCACAACAAATTTCTGCACTGCACAACACAAAACCATTTCACGAGAAGTGCAAATAATCTCATCTTTTACGAGCGCAACGGAACCCCCCGGCTGCCTCGCCTGGTCGGCCGTTCGGTCGGCCGGTCGCTCCGCTCGAACGAGCGTAAAGGGTTGACCTACTTGGGGAGTTTCCTCGCATGCCGCCACCATACCACACACCACCAGCGGGCGAGCGTCCACGTCCAGGAGGCAACACACACACTTACCACCTGAAACAAGAGAAGGAGAAAGTATGAGCAAAGAGAGTCGGAAAAGCGCGGCCGGCGCCATCACGATAGCAAAAACACACACAAAACACGGTAGTGCACCACCAGGAAGAGAAGCGCTCGGCTGGGCGCACCCGTGTCTGCGCTCACCATCTTCCGGAACTCATCTTTGTATAAAACGGTTTTTTGAGAAGTCTGTATATCTCTCTTTCTCATTCTCCTCAACTCCCCGCGGCTGTCCGTGCTCGCGTGTGATGAGAGGTGCCCGCAGTACAACACCCATAGGGGGAGAAGGGGGGGGGGAGTGGTACATGGTACCGCAGTCTTCACTCCGGACCACATACGAAGCGCCATTCGTTCTCATCACAAAACCATCTGACAGGGGAACATCAGAGGCCACATCACAGGAGGGAGGTGCGGGGAGGATGGTGAGGAAGAGGAGGAGGAGGAAGACATCGGCGATGTAAGTACACGCATAGTGAGGAAAGGAGTAGGCCCAATGGGACTACACTCACGTGCATCGCGGGGGAGTTTGGGAGCAAAGGGGGGAAGTCCCTGGGGCCCAACAACTCCACCCCTGGGGGGCGCGGAGGACAGGTGAGTGACGACGAACGCACGGCGGCGGCAGTGGCGTAGGGAGAGGGACATAACAAGTCCCCCCCGCCCCTTAGGGTGACCAGACGTCACGCTCGGTCGGGGCGCGCGAGTCCGACGGCCGGCTCGGGTTTCAAAGACGTTGCTGTACGGCTTGCTCGCTCTCGCTATGTCCGTGCGCGCCAAAGCCGCACAAAACCCACTTTCCTCGCATCCCCCATATCCACATCCACCTGCTCGCCGCGCGCCATCACGGACGTGGTGTGCACGAGTGCGTACGGAGCGCGCGCGCGCGTGTGTGTGCGTGTGTGTGCGTGTGCGTGTTTTATGGACCACTCGGCTCCGGGTAAAGAGGAGAGATGCTGCCGTCGCATACACACACACACACACACAAACAGGTCCAAAACAAAACAGGCCAGCGCTGTAAACACCCACGTGCGTATGGTACTGTAACGGCCGGCCGGGACTCCAAAGCAGGGTGGGAAACATAAACCAGAAGACGGCTGTTTGAAAAATACTCGACTTCTCTTTTAGTCGAGCAGAGTCGTCGGGGCCTCTCTCTGCATCGTTCCTCTGTATCATTGCCATCGCTTTTGTTGCGCGCACGGCGCTGCAGCTCGCCCCGACCAGCCTCACCACCACTACTAAAGTACTCTCTTGGAAAATAAAACTTTTAGAACGGCTGTAAAGATGCCGTGACGAACAGCACGACCTCACAGTGAATTTGAGGGGTTAAAAACTTAAGCTCCGGTCTTAACTTAAATAGGCGATCGCCGATGATGGATACAGTAGAGAACCTGATTATACACTACAAAATAATGTCATGCGGGTTAAAAACAACGTATCCTTGAGGCGATTCTGTTAGTTTGGGAGCGAAGCATGGTAATCAGGCGGTAACCCAAAAGCACCCAAAATGCCTAACTGCGAAAAGAAATCTTTTTTCTGTAAACAAAACTTTCCTCCAGTAAATCGTGGTCATTTTTGCGCTTGACTATTCCGCCACAGTGATTGCACTGCACTCCATGCACTGCGCCGGGGTCGCCTTGGTCGCAACACTCGCTCACGATCGAGCCATTTAAATTTAAAACCAAGAGAGCTGCGGCCCAACAGAGCATTGTCCTATAGGCCAGCCGCCGGGGCGCGTGGTGTTTCGTGGCCGTAGAGAGAGATAGCCAGCAAAAGATTTTCCTTCCCGTATGAGCCTTACGCCACCACATAAGAACGTGAACACTCGTGCGGCGTTTCGTTTTCCTGCCGCGGTGGTTTTAGTAGTGTTCCCCACCCAAATAAAGTCGGCGGGGGACGACAGCAGCAGCAGCAACGACATGGTGGCGCACACCCATATCGACGCAATCAACACCTTGTCGAACGGCCCCAAATGGGGCGCCGTCCACGATCCGCCCCGCCCCCTACGGGTCCCTATCGGCGTCTTATCTGGCGTGTCCCTCCCCGAGGCCGCAACCCAAAACCTTGTCCGACATTGGGGAAGGTAACGTCTATATCGGGGGCGCCTCGCATCGTCCTGCCACGCCCGCCACAGGCGTTGGCTGAGTGCCCCACGGTGACATTTCCATTCAACGCAACCATCAACGCGCAAACTGTAATACTTCAACTTCAAAAAGGGTTATAACCACTGCTTGTTCATAGCGAACTGGAGCCACCCAGAACTTGGGTCACGCAGTCAGGCCCCGTACACCTGAATACGCAGATGAGTTGTTAGAAGGGATTTTAGGAACTGTTGTGTACACACTTGAGTTGTCACGCACCTAATTTTAAGTCTCGAGGAGATGGGTCTCAAGTTCAGGAGAAAAGTCAAACGTCGGGAAAAACAAAGAGGGGAGAAGAGATGAGGGGAGCAAACACGGGCGGGCGGGCCCCGGGCGCGAACAAGAGCTATCTATCCTATCTAGTGCCGCGGCTCGACGGGCGCGACACGGCTCTACACAACACACTCGAGGAGGCCGTCGAGT